GGTTTCGGGGTGTGTCACGTAGATGATGTAGGACGCACCGGATCGAATCTAGCCTCGTGCAGCTTCCCTGGCCTAATGGGTCTCACCAACTAGAGTCCTTCATCACCTCGGGTCAGGATTTCCTTGCCTCAGAGCGGCTTGAAAGCATTATTCAATACCCCGCTGCTTCAAAACCCGAAAGATGCGCCATCGATTGCAAGGACAGGGTAGGACGCAGGAGGTCGAACCGCAAGCAAAGAGACAGCCATAACAATGCAACAGCTGTAAGTCTAGTCTGCAAATGATATTTTTGGAGGCCTGAAATCAGGTGGGTAAGGCTTTAGCCCCGGATGCACTGTCCACGAGATCCTGGGATTTGGGGTGTTGAGGATTGCACAAGCACCCGGGTTTCAATGTTAGTTTACATGATTGCAGCCACGTCTGTCGTCTCAGTGATGGTTTGCGTTGATGATTGAGACTATATAGCTACTACCACAGGGGCACTCTCCTTTTCGACCGCTAGAGTGCCGGGGATGCAGACTCTTGATATCAAGCAATATCAAGCATGAGCTTCCCAGAAAGACCTCTGAATCCCGGCATCCTGCCGATGCCTGTACATTGCCTAGGCACGTTTGTCTTGTCCTCCGGATCGAGCTTTTTCTCGAGTTGTCTTCCTGACGTTCGCATCCGGCTTCAGAGATTTGGGCCGAGTAGCCATGGTAAGAACGAACTATCAATAACATTACGACCTGCGTTGAGAATGATGCTGACCATAATCATGGTCATCAACCCCATTACCATCGTCATCATAATGGCGATGATGATGGTGATGATCATCATCATCACCAACTTCATCGTCATATTGATCATCATGGCCAACACAATGGAGCTAAGGACATGGATTGTGATGCTGATGACGATGGTGGTGGTGATGATGATTATGATGATAATGCGGACACGGTGATGATGGTGGTTGTGATGATGACGATGGCGAACCTGATGCAGACGATGCTGGGGATGTTATGGTATGTCTGGTGGTGGAACATGTTGGGGGTAACTGTGACACTGGTGCCAGTGAGAAAGCATCATCTTGCCATTGCTGCTACCACAAACAAATTACACAGTCCTGATACACGGATTGATGATGAATGACGAACGTTTCAGCCTCGGCATTCGATCCATGAGCCCCTCTGCCTGCATATGATATCTGTGAGCTCCCGGGATATTGTGGGACAAAATGGGACAATGTACGACACGAAAACCATTCAGACTGTATCGTGCACGGATCCGCACAAGGACGGAGACGGCGACCTCAACCGCAAAAGGCACAGAGAGGATCGATCGGACTGCGAATATCGAGCGCCGACTGATCTTTCGATCTACGAGTCTACCGTCTCTTGCCAGCTGGCCTACGCCCCATTCTATCAGGCTCAGCAAATGGAAGCAGCAAGACTGATCTCCCTGCACTAAACATGGCTGTTTGGATGCATCGGCAGCATGACTCGTCAACAGCACAACAGATTCCCACCTGCATAATCAGCCTTGCAGCAGTGTTCGAACAAGAGGCGAAACCCTCCCACCTTTGTCTCGGTGTCGGCTTCCAAGGAGCAAAGGTCCGTCCCAGCCAAGCTCCTCGAATGGCACCCAATACCTCCCACCCCCGTCCTCATGATCCACAGGAAAGAAGAGGACAGAGTGGAAGAGAGCGACGGAGAGGAGAAAGGGGAAGACAAACAGAGAGAGAGAGAGAGAGACAGAACAAAGAGGGACGCGTGACAGGCACGCCCCAAACATGCTAAAACCGGCACAGCTCGAACGAAGCGAACACATCAGACAATATACTGTCGTTTCACTACAGACGGGTGCTTTTCTGGTTAACCCTGTTCTCTTTTCAATCACGATATCTTGCTTGATGCTCTTCGACAGAACCTAAACATAGGGTCCTCCCGAATAAGAAGCATAGGGTTTGGGCTGGGTAGGTCATACTATACTAGTTTCAAGGAACCATCAGGAATCCTGTTCTTTTCCGACCCTTATATTAGCCTTCCTTCGCGGACTGCATGTCCTGCAGGTGATGCCCACGATTCCTTCCCCGGGCTTGAGCATCTTCATCTGCAGGAAGGGCTGAGGCACGCCGAAACAAGAGGGATTCAATCTAAACCCTAAAGCCTAACCCCTAAACCCTAGACCCTAAACCGTTACTGTTGCCTCCCGGCTGGCTAGGACGAACCTACCATCGTAGGGTCATACTAAATCGCTGGCAAGGTTGATTGGGGAGCCTTTGGCGGCAGGGTTTGCCTCACTGGACCAGACCCTAAACCCTAAACCCTGAACCCTAAACCCTAAATACCCTAAACCCTAAATACCCTAAACCCTAAACCCTAAACCCTATCTCTGCCCGAAGAGGCAAAACGAGCAGACCGGCTCCCGGAGAAGGGGTTCTCTCTATGTGTGTGTAGTTCCTGAAATGAGGGTCCCTTTTAGGGGTCACTTTTAGAAGGGTGCCGGACTATATTTGGGACCTAATCTTAAGAAGGGGCCCTAATTTAGAGAACTACCCATATGCCCCGAAAGGTGACATGTTTGTGGGATCAGCCTGATAACCGAGTGTGGGAGGCTCAAGTGAGACACAGTTCTTCTAGCTCCCAACAACTACGAATCGCACAGGTCATCCCCTAAACCCTAAACCCTAAACCCCTAAACCCTAAACCCTAAACCCTAAGCTAAAAGACCGCTTCTGATGTCCGGACTGGGTGAATCCTCGGACGCATGGCTGCAGGCAGGCTCACTAAATACCTCGCGAGCAAGGGGAAGGACCCGGACTGAATTCTGGGGGCGGGAATCCACACCAAAAATCCCCTTTTTGCATCAAGACTTGTGCAATCGCCTGAATACTGACTTCCACAATGCAAAGAATTAGTTGAACCTAAATGACGGAGCCTTGCCTTGCCAAGCATGGAAGGAAGCAGCTGCTTCAAGGAGACGTTGAGGCGGCCAGGCACGCGAAGAGACATGCTCCCCGCAAGCTCACCTTCAGGCTAATTTAGGAGGCCTTAATAGTTAGGATAGGGTTCTGGGATGTATGATACTAGAATTATGATAAGGAGCCCCCAAGATAGCATAGGTAATTATTTAGGCCCCTACATTATGGAGCTTTGAATGTTGGGCCCACCGTTGTCATGTTCGCTTCTTCTTTTTCTTCTCGTGAAGCTTCGGACTCTGAAGTGACCTTATGCGACTGTCGATGCTTACAGTCTTACGCGTGAGTGAAGTGTTCTGCATCGCAAAGACAGCATTGTCGAGTGGTGTGGCTCTCAAGCCACAGCAAAGCACGAACAGCTTCAGATAGAAGTCTGGGGGTAACGAACGTTATCGGCCGTCGAGATGCGCTATAAGTAAGATTGAAATCACGAATTACAACCTGGACAAGTTGAAGCTCAAGGCGTCTACGACCGACGCAATGCTCCGACACACTGGCTGCAGTCGATGTGACTAGCATATTAAGACCGCTTACACCTGACTGGGCCCCGAGCCCGTCACATCGAGCTCCACCATTCCATGAGTGAAGCTTGTTGTCGGGGTTTCCGTAATCTTCGCAAGCACCTCCGCATGGTGGGCAATGCTTTCTTTGACGCTTGGATGCATTGTTTTGTTTTGGTCCGCTTTGCTTTCAGAGATCTACAAAACTTGGTACTGCCGAGGCCAAACACACCCAGGCGGTAAGAGATGTCACCCCCTCCAGACATCGCAAGTCTTCAAAGGACACTGTCATGCGTCGGGTTCACAGTCCTCGAAGAAGCTGCAGAAACAAGCAATCGCAAGCAGAAAGCACAGAAAACATCCGAATCCCAAAACTCCTTTGTAAACCAAGTGGTTCATCCTCGTCGGAAGCTGCCAGCACCACATCGTCAGGTAGCCTGGACTGCTCCACGGACCCGCTTGTACAAGATTACATATATATATATATACACATACATACATACATATATATATATATATGTACATACAACCGTGCACAATCATACATACATTCATAGATACTTGCATACATACATACAAACCGGCAGACATACAGACATACGTACACACACATACATGCATATATATATATATATACATATATATATATATACCAACAAACACGTTCATGACGCAGGTGTGTGTGCACATGTATTTTATGCTGATAGATCTGGTCATGCGTGCAACCTGAGCTCGACGGGGCCACAGGCTTGCAATGGGTCGTGACGGTCTGAGGTCGCGGTTGGTTGTTGTTTCGTCAACTGACTCGAACCTGCCGAAATGCTTGTTCTCCCGGCTTGAGTTTGCCGCTCATGTCCAAATCTACATTCTACATGCGTTCGTGAGCCATCTGCATCTTGGCACCAGGACACTCGAAACCTTCAAACCCTAACTTTTGAGCACGCCGTCCCACCTCGTCTGCAGCGCCACCAATCGCAATGCTAGGTCCAGGTGCGACAGCATGAAATGAACAGGCAGCACCACCTTATGAAGGAAAACGGACTGGACTGGGTTGGCGGCATGACGGCAGCATGACACACTGGTGCACCATTCTCTCTGGCTCTTATGATTTTTCTGTTCCAGGGCACAAAGAGGACTCTGCGCTCTGGTGGAAAGGCGAAGGAGGGCTCGACGGCGGACGGCAGCGAGCTGCGACACTTCGCAAAGGACGGCGTCAGCTGCCCTCGGCCCCCGGCCGATCCCTGGGAGGAGCCCAGAACTCGCAGACCCACGCCCTTCATGTAGAAGTTCGCCACCACCACTTCTGGATGTCGGGCACAGGCAGCAATGTCCAAGACGCGGGAGTCGAGAAAGCTCCTTTGGAAGAAGAAGCCCCAATCCAGCAGTGGCCAGGGTTCCGGTCCTCAGCTTGCTCAATGAGTCCTGCTGGCTTGATACGTAAACTTGCGTAAACATTCCATGGAATTGGGCCCTTAGAAGACCATCATGAGGATGGTCTTTTGGGACCCCATCCAGAATATGAGTATATTGTCCGAGGCTTCCGCCGAGCTCTTTGGGTTATGTAGGGGCCTTAACCATTAGCACAGGGTTTTGGGTTCCTTTGTAGAATAGTCGTAATAAGGAACCCTGAGGATATTATTGGTAATTACTTAAGCTTCTATAGTCTCAGCAAATAACGGTCAAAAGAGCCGAGATGCCTCCGATAGCCCGACTGGCCACAGCCGCGGCGCCCCACAGATGGAAGGCCTGGCCAAGAACTCTTGTTGTATTCGAGGTTTCAGCACTCACTCTCGGACATGCCTAGGCGAGGTTCCTGGTACGGGGCGAAAGCACATTGGCTTGGGATCGGCACGTGTCACCGACTACATTTAAGGTTTTGGATGGTTTTAGGGTCTTGCACGAACTCCACTCAGCTTTAGAGTTTTAAGGCGTTAATGGATTAGAGGTTTCGGCGCTCACACTCGGACTGGTTGCGAGGCGGCTGAGTGACGACTACAAGGGGGTGGAGACGGAGCTTCCCACTCGCCTTCAACAACTCAGGGAGCAAGTGCGGCGCGTGCCCTGAGACAACGCGTTTTTTCAAGGTGTAAGTCTGTGTGTTGACGGGATGCAAGTGCATTGAAGACCACCTATTTGGAGAGGATGCCCACCCAAAGCTATGCTGGCGGGCTTGCAGGCCGTCGATTACCAGTGGCCGGCTGGGATAGGAGAAAGAAAGGGGAAGTGGCTGACAGACAGGCAAGCTAAATCCAGTCCAGGCCGCTGCGAGCTCCACCCATCCTTGCAATGAACGGCTTCTTTTCGGAATCTTTATTTACAGGGGTATGACAGCTCTAGCCGAAACAGCTCAAGGGCAGCCAAAGACAAGAAACCACCACCTAGCCACTTCTCACAGACTTCTGTATCCTCATGCTACCCTTTGCAGAATGGGCTTGGGTTGTGTGCGAGCGAACACCATTAACGAGGGATGCCTCAAGCTACCCTAAACCCTTTTGCCTGAACCCGAACCCCCCCTCCAAACTAGCAAGGGAGCAGGATCAGGGTAGACGGCCAGAGCTCCCGCTGCAGCAGCGTCTCCCAAAGCAGAGGGGCCTGGGAAGATTTGCCAAGCCCTGGTAGAATTCGTCTGAACTCTAGTCTCTAGTTGGGGAAGGATCCGCCCCCTCACCAAGAAAGCCGACAAGAGCCGCTCTTTTTTTTAGGGAGCTGCTGGAATCATCTCCTGACCTTGCTCTGAGCCTGAAACAGAGGTCGCACCATTTCGCTCTCCAATGCTCCGAGTCTCGTAGCTGCAGACTAGGCGGATCCGTTGCCCTCAGAATACACGGAAGGGGCAAGAATTGAGGACTGATCGACAGTACGACGAAAACGCAACACGACAGATGCACTAAAGCGTACCATCATACCGGAATCATACTAGCATATACAAAACTACAAATGTCATTTGACTGCAGTCGAGGGAGACGGACGCAGGGAAGGAAATATGGAGGGAGAGAGAGAGAGAGAGAGATGGACGGAGGCGCTACACCGTCGTGACAACGAACACACGCGTTCAGCATGAGTTCAACTCTATCTACGGACCTGTCCTCGTTGCTGTTTACCTCGTGGTTATGTGTTAAATCAGCACGCCAGAATATGCGCACACGACACACGCACACGGACACTCACTCACTCACTCACTCACTCACAGACTTTGTCGCTCACTCGCTCACTCACTTACTCACTGACACTGCCACAAATGCACGTGTGCACACACACACAGACATGCACGCAGGGAGCTTAAGAAGCAAAAAGCCGCACACAAACTTCTGACTTGCAGAAGTCTACAAGAGCAACACGCTAGAACCTTGTTGAATCGGGCTTTCTGCGATGCCGGGTATGGCCTACGCGCCCTGAACGTCAATAGTCAGTTCCAACAACCTACGCCTCTGCAAGCAAGCATCGATTGCGCAAGTAGCCTGGGACGCTGCAGCCTCGCCGAGCACCCCTGGATTGCACGACGACGTAGAGCCTGCAAGCCGAGCTGAGGCTAAAGGCTAGGATTGGAGAGTTTGTAACAAGTTTCTTCCGAAAGGGTCTTGATAGACAGTTGCCGATGGCGTGTCCTCAATAACATCGTCGCGTCTAGAATTGCATCGAAGGCTGTGATGGGACAGCATGGATCGGGTGGCAGCTGGGCTAAAGTCAGCTCGACTGCCACACCGGCTTATGAACCCCTCTGTCCGGATTCATGCAGGGATCCTAGCACCAAGACTCGTTGAACCGCACAGGGGGGTTATTGTTTCATGATCCAGTACAAAATTAGTTTCTGCGAGGCGGCCGCGCCAAACGTGGCCGCTGCCGCAAAAGGCTCCTGTCAATCACCATCTGCTCATTTGCTGCTCGCGATGAAAGTGCCGTGCGTTCAAAATCTCATATCCGGTGCCGTCCACGGGCACAAATCTGGACATGTGGAGGATAAGTTTAGAAACACGAGCAGTTGCAAAGGCTGCCCAAAACCCATTGTGTTTTGACCTCGGACACTACAAGTATATGAACATGAGACTCCCTCAAGCGTAAACCGCTGCATGTGGCTAGCTCGCTAGATTAGGATCCGGTAAACAGAACCCACTAATTTGGAGAACTACCCCCCCCCCCCATGTGGAGAACTGGGAACTTCATGTACAGTATTCAGATGCCTCAAGCCGGCTCGACATTACCTTAGAAGCCCCAAGGTGAAGTTGGAAGTTGGAAGCATCAGCCTTTGAAGACATGTTTGACAATTCAAAAGCCCGACAAAACCGGAATCCCCGTGGCAGCACGACACCACGGACGGCCCAAACTCAATCAAACCAACCGCCATGTCCTGCTGGAACTGCTCATGATCCTGGATCGACACAGTTTTGATTGAGACCTCCTCTAGTTTGGTTTAGGATTTAGGGTTTACAAGCAGAGCCCTGCTCTGCTGATTTTTTAGCGCCTCGCGGGTGTACCGTCTTCCGAAAGCAGACAGACATGTGTAATACCTTCGATACCCCTTTTTGAGCAGGGGCTGCGGTGCACATGTCTTGGGGGGATAACCCATCCCTCCACAAATCCCAAGCTCCCAAACCTAAACCCTCAGCTTGTAGCGGCTCAGCGATCCGACGCTTCCCCCATCCCGACATGGTGGGGTCCTTGCTCTAGGGGCCCCTTTCACAAACCCCTTGCACCCTAAACCCTAAACCCACAGCCCTAAAACCTACTGTAAACCCTAAACCCCTTGCACCCGAAACCCCCTTGCACCCTAAACCCCCCAAACCCACGTGGACCCTGTAAGAGGCTCGCCAAGCCCAACTCCTTGCTACCCAGGTGTCCGCGAGGAGCGGTGACGCCACCGGCCCGATGCCAATAGGACCCCGACGATGCGACGTCTCTCCTAGGGCTTAGGGTTTTTACGGTGTAGGGTTTAGGGTTTAGGGTGTAGGGTTTAGGGTTTGTAAGGGTTTAGGGCTGAAGCAGAACAGGGTTAGTTTGGGGTGTTGGGGGCGGATGTCGGATTTCGACTCGCATTCTCGCACAAGGCAGGCAAGGCTTTTGGATTTAGGGGTTCAGGGTTTATAGCTTTAGGGTTATTTGGGGGGATTTTGGATTTAGGGGTTCAGGGTTTATAGGTTTAGGGTCTCAAGGCTTCCTGTAAGGGCTCCTATGAAAGCTGGAGCAGCACTCGTTCTTGTTCCTTGACATGTTTGCGATTATAAAACTTCAACAGCAACTCCCAATCATTCCCAGGCAGAAGTACTCCAAATTCTCTGGGGTTTTGGGTTCGGATTGGCTGCGCGTAAGGCTATAAGGACTTGGGGCGATGATGTTCCGCCATCTGAGGGCCACGAATGAGGAACCCGCGTAACCATCACACAGATTATCCCTAAAGTGGCGAATCGAAGCCGCAACCTCAAGTCAATGTTTGCCAGTCCTACCCGAAGGAGCATAGGCCATTAGCTATTCGTATTTACAAAGCTTATAACCTGCCGCTTCTCATTCGAAGGCACGTACTAGTACGGTGTTTTGCTCTGCAGGGCCTGCTCGTCCAGTCACTGCTTATGCAAGATTTGGTGCTCTCTCATGTGCCCCGCGGCTGGGTCAGCCAAGTCGCCGAGAGCCACCCTCGAACAGTTGCGGCAATGTTCGCATCGTGCGCCAAGAGGAGCTTGAATGCAGCCCAGTATTCCTCAGGGCAAGACCGGTAAGATCTCTAACGCCCAGCCAGGCACGATTTAAGTGCTAAAGCTCCCGATAAGCAGTTTCACGGGCTCGATGTTGGAGACTTCGCATCCCTTCGCGCATGTCTGAACACAACCACCTGAGTTGGAACTTGACTAATCTTGACGTAGTGTCAGAAGTCTTGGCCCCACATCAGGAATTCACATAGCTAGTACCGCCACAGTGCCATATGTTGTAAAGCGCGTGCAGTGGTTTCGAGGTGTTCTGTCAATTCTCAGGTCGACGTCTTTCGATGCTACGTCGGAAGCTGCATCTGCTAGGCCGTGGATCCGTTACTGTTTTCTCCGTTGACTTCAGACGCTACAACAGCGAGCACACCTTTACTGCCTTCACTCTGACCTGTCGCTGTCTCATGTGCGATCGGTCACAGTACACGTCAGTCTCGGGTGCGGTCTCTGTCATTCCTATAGCAATATGATGATGGCCATAAAAAATTGTTGCTAATTGCAATAAAGCACTGGCAACTACAATAAAGATGATGATCATAATGCTGGCGATGGCAGTAGTACTAACAACAATAATGATGGTTTCAACGAAGATCATAGGAACAATAATAATAATAATGGCCATAATCATAATAAGCATAACAAATGGTAACCATAGCAATATTAATAATAATAACAATAATACGTATACTAATGACGAATACTAATGCTTATACTACAGTACCCGGAATTTAAAACAATTATTTGAGCAAGGCCAAGATTGCAAAGCGGGAGAGCAAGATTGCCAAGCAATCTTGCCATCTTGGTATCCAAAAGGTAAACTAGTCGGCGTGGCAAGGGAAGGGGAGCAAGATTGTCAGCAATCTGGCAATCTTGGTCTCCCAAAACGGTAAACTAGTAGGCAGGCAAGTGGGGCAAGTGAGGCCAGATGACCACGATTGCCAAGATTACGAAGAGGGCTCCGTCAATTAAATGTTCGAAAGTTCCGGCACAATGTAATACTAATACTGGTACTGATACTGATACGATACAAATACCAATACTAAGCTAGTATTACTACTAACAGTTGTAACTATTGTAAACATAATAAGTATAATATATATATATATATGTGTGTGTGTGTGTACATACAATGTATGTATGTATATTTCTGTTAATATGAATGTAATTAAACAAATAAACATACCTATATTATATATATATATACATATACACACATATACATACATACAGACATATATATATATATATGAACACAACCAGTGCAGTCCCAGGAGCCGCTCCGAAGTCTTGGCCCTTCTCAGCTGGTCGCCCTGAGGCGACCCATTGGCTGCTGCCTTCGCCGATTTTTTGGCACTGGGCTCTCGGTTTCTAAGGGAATTTGAACCCTAAACCCTAAACCCTTTATAAACCCTAAACCCTAAACCCGGAATTTCGAGTGGGATCCAGTTTTTCAGAGGTTTTGGGTTTACGGTGAGCCAACGCCATGTCCGGCGCCGAGGTGCTAAAGTAGGGCATGAAGGCAGCTGTCCGGAGTGGATCCTGGCTGCTGTAGGCCGCGATCCGCCGAAAAGAGGTGCCTCATAAGAATACCAAGCATGACCCTTCATTGAAATCAACCGCCATCACATCGGAGGGTTCGGTCGTGGCCTCTGGGTCTTGGACATGCAGAACACACCAGGAGCGATGAGAGCCCAAACACTGTGCCAGCTCTCGCGCAGCTACTTCACATCTATTGCGCGTCACCGCTACCCCGGCCCGGGCACTTTTTGTGTGAAACAGCTGTACGAAGATGCCGCAAGGGCTGCGGCGCCCTGCGAAGCCCTTGTCGCACTTGCTGCGACGGAGGCACTGCCATCCGATGCCCGGCAGACCTGAATCTTCAGGACCGATGACAAGCATGGGTCAGAAAGGCAGGTTTGAGAGCTCACTGACATTCCTTCATCAATCACCAGCACCACGGCATCGTTCGCCCTGCTAGAGCAAGGACCGACCGGAACAAACACTTCGGCGAGCTTCGATCGTTTGCTGTCCGGTAATCAAAGATGCAAAAGTAGGTCCACCCGAACCCCGTCCGGCAAAAACTGCAGGCATCCTTGGACGCACTCAAAGTCGAAACTAGCACAGCCGATCTTGCTCATTCACTCCCGCACTATCCGCACTCGCATCACTTGCACCCTTCCAAGACAAGAACTCTCTGAGCTTGAAAGCCTCTCACCCAAAAGAGCCCTCAGCGAAGCCCCGGGGCGCAGGCGTGCAGGGTGGCTTCGGACCCAAGGCATTGCTGGTGCTGGTGAAGGGCAGCCTTCACGGGTCCATATTACAAGCGCTATGGGCTTGGTAAGTCCGATATAAAAGTAAGCTTTAGGCAGAAGGACCATAAGCCCCTTTACTTGAGGTACAATTACAAGCTGCTTACGAGGTGCCTGCATTCTTTGGACCATAGGCCCCTTGTGAAAGCCTTACAGAACCCCGTTCCAGTCCCTCCAGGGAGGGCTTGTGATTTGGCTCCCACAATGCCAGGTTGGAAGATGTGATACAAGACAAAAGGCTCACATCAAAGCGTGAAACCTGTGTTATGGGTTTCGTGGACTTGTTGCTGCTTAAGTTTTATCGGTGCTTTGTCGAAGGCTTATACGGTTTGATACTTGCCGTTTGGACAGTGGGAAACATCTCCTGTCGGGAGAATCGTAGTATTCGGCACCGAAGCCTGGTCAAAGGCCTTAAGTGCTGGAAGAAGATACTTGGAGGTTCATGGGTAGTTATAAGTGGAGCTATAAGTAAGTTAACTATAACTATAACCCATATTAGGGGACTTATAACCCTACTTGTAACTACCCATGAACCTCCAAGTAGGATTTGGATTACCAAGGTGGGGTTTGGATGAAGCCTCCGGGGAGCAACTCGAGCCATGGTTGGGGGTCAGCTTAGGAGGCGTCGTACCTGACGTTCGCTAAAGTCCAGTTGGGTTCTTGGCACGAAAACGGTTTCAGTCAAATGTCAGAGGCTGAGTCGGAGAGAAGCGAGTTGAGGCAACTTATTTCGTGGACAGGCCACGAGAGGCCGGGCAAGTTTAAATTCAACCCCTACTCCCCGGCAGCTATCAGACGACTCTCAACAGTGATTGATGCTTTGAGCCTGTAGCTTCCGTGCTTCCGTGTCTACTACACGTGGGAGGAAACACGAAGCCTACTCCTTCGACCCAGAGAGCTGTCGCAAGCCCATGATCAGCATACCCGGCACGCTACGAGGGCCAAAAGTCGTAGTCTGCGTGTCACTAGCCACCAGCAGGCCTCCATGTTAGCATCGCTGCCATCTGACAACCTCAACGGATGAAAGACTGGGATGGTTACATGCATCTTCGACACCGAAAATCATGCCACCAGTAGATTCCCGCGGACCCGCCCACACGTGCACGTATACTTGCCTACGTGCAAGCAGCGGCAGTTGAACACAAGCCACGGTAGGACGAGATGGGCTTTGCGTGTCGAGAGCCTTCGGCTTCGAGCCTCTCAGCTCACTTAATATATATGTATGTATATATATATACACATTATATATATANNTATATATATATATATATAATTATGAGACAACCACGAAACCTTTTTTTTACCTAATTCAGCCGCATCCTCTAATCTTCAACTGTCGACCGGTCGAAGTTTTAGGGCGCCCGCACGATGACGGTGGCAGGATCCTCTTCGAACTGCAGCACTGTCCGCAAGGTAGTGGCCCAGGAGCATGGAGCGTCCACGCCGCAGCCCTGAAAAACCTCAACGACTGGTTCTACATAGTTCTACCCTGCATGCTGCGAGGGCGGCTTTATGGGATCGGGATCTTCAGAGCAGCATAGAGGCATCGCAGGCTCGCAGCAAGCAGACCACAAGACCTGACTCCTTCTCCGGCCCCTGCATTAAAACTGAAGCCCTCAGTTCTGCCACGCTGGAGCTTCGGGTGTTCTGGTTATCGGAACGACTTCCTCCGAACGCGAAGCCGAACTTCAGGCCCCCCCCCCCCCCCCCCCTTGCGAAAGAAGGGGCCCAGGGCAAGATGGACCACAGGTGTACCCATGCCCGAATCAAAGCCATGGCTGAGGGACGGTAAGACGAAGCCTAACTCCCGGCACTCTGATGAACTGTGAACCTTAAACTTTAAACCCACCTACATAAGCCCTAAGCCGCAGCAGAGCTACCAGGTCCATGCTGAGACCCGAAGGCCCAGGCAAAGTCGCGGCAAAGCCACCGGGGACTGTCATCTCTGGTGTCTTGCCTGGCCTGCAAGGATAGGACACCCAAAGGCTCCATGTACCTTTA